GATGTCAATAGCTTCCAAAAGCCATTACTCTAGACATTATTATCCTGGGAAGTTGGAATATTTGGATGCAAAGAATGGCAAGATCTTCAAGAGAGTAGCCCCCAGTATAAACTCTTGGAAATTTCCTCTCAGAAAATATTTAATTCTGCTAGAGCACAGGATGAAGGCCAAGAATGTGGCAGTTCTGAAAGAGAGGATCGATTCCCATCTTTGATGATAGGGTGATTTGTTTGGTTTCTCTTTTTGTGTTTCCTTGTATACTTGTACATATTATTTTAAATAAAAATTACCGTAGAACAATTGTTCTATGATTTGGGGTTTAAAAAAATTGATATCATTGTGTTACTAATTTTGTCATAAAAAAATGTTCGGAGTAGCTATGTGTTGTATCTGACATATGACACTTACTATTTTATCAACCACTAACCACTGTACTTGTACTAAGAAGTATACTGGCATTATCTGACTCGAAGATTCTTTTCCGCCGACTCGGAGACTCTTTCCAGTTCTCCATGCCGAGCTCTACAAGTCACGGGCCGCTGCTCCCGAAACAGTTTCAGGCATCTGATGTTTCATTACGCCTAAATGGGCCTAAGAGCAATTTTAATGGGACAACTTAAACGGACGACGAATTCGTTCATTTTTTATCCATTTGGATCGGCTGTTCGGCGTCTGCTCTGTTTTTGATATGGGTCGATAGCACGCCCAACGCGCTGACCCATATGTGTCGGGATGGCCAGCTGCCCGCCCAATTTTACATTAATTATTGCATTCAAACATATTGCCAAATAACATAGTTTTAAACCAAATAAAATAGTATAGTTTTACAAGCCGAATACAAATAAAAATGTTTCACATAGTTTTACAAACGAATAAAAGATATATCTATTGGTTGCCAACATGAGCCCACGTATGCTCAACCAAATCATTTTGCAGTTGCACGCGAGTTTCTCAATCGCGCATGTCTTGATGAAATTGGATGAACTGTTCGAACGTTGCAGCTCCTCCATGCTCAGGCACAACATTCTCATCCTGAAACTGAAACCCTTTATCGTACAGACGTTCCGGGCGCTCGTCTTCTACGATCATATTGTGCATGATCACACAAGCAGTCATCACCTCCCACAGTTTCTGTGTGCTCCAGGTATTAGCAGGATACCGAACGATGCCCCATCGAGATTGCAAAACACCAAAGCCACGCTCGACATCCTTCCTAGCACTCTCTTGGTCTTGGGCAAGTCTTTTCCTCTTCTCTCCGACAGGGTTGGGTATTGTCTTGACAATAGTGGTCCACTGAGGATAGATACCGTCACCCAGGTAGTATCCTTTGTCGTAGTTGTGGCCGCTGACAGTATAGTTCACTGGTGGGTTGTTGCCTTCGGCAAGCCTGGCAAACACGGGCGAGCGCTGAAGCACGTTGATATCAATGTGTGATCCAGCCATGCCAAAGAAAAAGTGTCAGATCCAGAGATCTTGAGACGCCACGGCCTCTAGTATGACAGTGCAAGCCCTGACATGGCCCTTATACTACCCTTGCCAAGCAGAAGGGCAGTTCTTCCACTCCCAGTGCATGCAGTCTATGCTGCCAAGCATCTCTGGGAAGCCCCTACTGGCATTCATCGACAACAAACGGGTTGTATCTTCCGCTGTCGGCTCTCTCAAGTGCTCAGGGCCAAACACAGCAATAACAGCCTTGCCGAACTTATAAAGGGACTCTAGGCATGTAGACTCGCTCATACGGACGTACTCGGCAATGAGATCACCGGGCACTCCGTATGCAAGCACTCGGATGGCGGCAGTGCATTTCTGATAAAAGGAGAAACCAATCTTGCCGACGGCATCCTCTTTGCACTCGGAATAGTCATCATAGCCGACCACCCCCTCTCTAATACGGTTGAAAAGATGCCTACTCATACGGAAACGGCGACGGGATTTCTAATACGGAAAAGTAGTCCTTCCAAAGAAGGAAATGTCCGCTCTCTCGGTTGCGATGCAACGCCGGAAGGTGGCCCGGAATGGAGCCACGGAACAACGGCCGCTAGCTGTTGAGGTGGTGATGGACCAACACGGCAGCCAATATCTCCTCCTCCTCGTCGGACGATGAATCGTCGGAGTCGCAAAGGAAATTATGAAAAAAGAACTCGTCGGCGGAGTCCATTTTGTACCTTGGCAAACTGTCAAACATCTTGCGGGCGGCGAGGGGAGTCGCGACGCGCACGGACCAGCTCGCTGCCCTGCCGGTGTTTGACGAGCGCGCCGGTGAGGGTCTGGCCGGGGCGGCGAGGCGGCTTCTTGGTCGCGGGCGGTTGTGTGGTGGGGGGAGCGGGGGTGGGGAAGCAGTCTGCTCCCCGGCGACAAGACGGCGGTGGCAGGCGACGGGGGAGTGGGCGGCGTTGTTGGGCGGATGTGGAGGCGGCGGCAGTTGGCAGAGTCGCCGACAAAGATGGGCGGCGGCGACGACGACGAAGGAGACGGGCGAGGGTTGCTGTTTAATGGGAGATGAGGGGGAGGCCAATGTGTCACCGACCAGCGGGTCCAGAAAGAGGAGAAGGCGAGCGTGCGCGCGTCTGTCGGCTGTCGCGTATCCGCGCTGACGCAAATCCGACTTAAAAATGAGCTGAAAATGAATCACCCGCGGACGAAAGGGGACGCACGTTGGGCCGGTTTTGTGTCCGCGCCGACCCTAACAAATGACGGCGGACGAAATGAGTCGTTCCATTGGAGTTGCTCTAAATACATTGCATTTTATCAGATCACTGCCCGTCCATTTGCGCGCGAAAACCATAACCCAACGCGTCTCGGGCGCCTGTACGGTTAGGGGCGGAGGATCACGGTGGCGGCCGCGGCGAGCCGGAGCCGGCGTACTATAGGTGATGCCCATCTCGGAGGCAGACCCTCCGTTGTGGTCGACACGATTGGTGTTGGTCGTGCGCTAGGGTTCCATGGTTCTGCGGAGGTAATCTTTTGATTCTTTGTACTTCCGCAGCACTCCGCGATTGCAAAGTGATAAACAGTTTCCCTTTCCTGTGGGTGCAATATATGCAACCAGAATATCCATCATCGGAATATTCAATATGAGCTAAAGGTATAAATGAATATTCGTCCAAGAGCAAGGAAAAACAGCAGCGGAAACTGCAAGTGCGGACACTAACATTCGTCTGGTATAATGAATGAAACTACTCTACCATATATACTCATATTCATCATCTGCTACAGCTAAACCATGACATCGGTGAGACCAAGAAAATTCAGCAGCACATGCAGGCGGCCCGGATGAAAGAAAACACGCAAGTCGCATGCCAAGAAAACGAGAAGTGTTTTTAAAGGAACTGATCGTTGCAATGCAGAAGAAGAAGAAGCGGCCAATTCACGAGTCAGCACCAACAAGCATATACTCCAAGCCTGCATCTGATTGTTCAACATTTGGCGGTGACGACAGACAAGGGAAAGCTCGAGGAATATTCATCCGCACATCCATCACAGGATCCTAAGCTCGTCGTCGTAGGATCCTAGAACGATTCCACGTCCAGGAACTAGCAGTGACCAACCAATCGCTTCTGTCCTAATGGAATGAAGTTCACAGTTCACACACAATCGGAAAATCCAGTGTTCCTACCGGGCCTTAACTGAAACTGGAGCAAACCGTATCTACTACCTGAAACTGAGTGTGCAATCTCAGCTCCTTGTTCAGACGATACGATCGGCGTCTTCCCGGTTTCGCCAAACTAATGCCATACAGGATAGCGCGACCAGAACTCTGCAAGAGTACGTAGTGTGGACCAAAATCTGGATAACACCGCAAGATCAGCGCAAGAATGCAGAGTCAAGGCCGGGACATGTTCAAACAAGCATGCTAGCAACGCCTCACAATATGAGATATAATAATCTCCCGGATAAGTATGGGCAGAAGAACCCATTAATCAATCATACAACACTTGTTTGACTCGCAGCGACGATAAGCACGACAAAATCTAACAAACATTATCAGCAAAAACAAAAAAAGGGCATCATGAAGGAGGAAGAATGTGATGCTGACTCTTGGTCCAGCCTCACGCAGCAACAAACTCGCAAGAAATCAAGGGTGTGCGGGCGACCTGGAAACCTAGACTTTCATGCCAAGAATGCACGGTTAGTTGCATTCTGCACCAGCAGCAGCAGGTGAGAAATGATCGGAGCCGAGGAAGATTCTTGGTGTGCACTCCTGCCACCCTGGTTTTCAGGCGACAGATCATGATCAGATTCTTGGTGTCCCAACATCCCAGAGCAGATATTTGGTCAGGTCAGGTGAAACACATGATGCTTTGCTTCATAATAGGTAGGGGTAGGATCATCTCAAGTTTCTGATAGGTTCTTGACAGGATGGCGAGCAGTACTGCTCTAGTTATGTACGTATGATCCGGATTCAGGACCACCTCAAGTTCCAAGGGAAAGGATGAGGATCCAAAGCATTTTTTCTTCAGTTGTGGAAAGGATGAGGATCCAAAGCATGTTTTCTCCATTCAGGGTTTTGTTGCTCTTGCTGTGATGCTCATGGTCATGGCCATCAAGAACCAGAAAATGCACCTTAATTTGCTGGAGAGAAGCAAAACACGGGCACAATCACAAGTTCAGAATCTACCTACAATTGACTTTCAGTTGAATCAACAAACAACAGCAGCAAGCTTTATGAAAAGCTGTATACTGTACTTAATCGAAACGGAAAATTGCTTATCAAGAGAAAAGTCTGACACTGAACATTGGTAGTAAATTCTCTGGGCGAAAATTGTAGCTCTGCCCCAACCTTTTTAGAGTAACATATCCGCAAAACTGTAACTAGTATAACCTCTTCCCGATGTACTTACATAATAACAGCAAGAGTTTCATCTCAAAGCACTCAAGGCTTGATCTCCCTGCATACAACAAAAAAGACTACACTACAATCATGTCTCAGGAATCTCTCAAGATACCACTGTCATCGCGCGACCCGGAAACTCCGAACAAACTCTAATATAACTTGTTGATCATTTCCAGCCATAGCTCTCGGATCTGCCATCTTCCTCCTCGCCGCTGACCGTCACCGATGAGGCAGCTACGCCTGAGCTTGAGAAGTGAAGGGGCCCCGGAGGTGACCCTCCTGACTGGGAGCTGCTTTGGTCCTGAGTTATCCAGAGCCCTCCCATGAGCACGATCGGCCGGTTGGCTGCCGGAGATCCTGGCGCCCTTCGGTTGTGTAGACGGTATTTCTGAACAATAAGAAAAACAATACAGGATTCACATTAGTGTCAATGCAAATTAAAAACCAGTAATAAATTCCATCATTAGTACATGGATAGAAGTTTGTGTAAGATAGTGGTGAATTGCTCACCTGGAGATGGCTCTTCACTTCATCATTGGTCAGGCCATCCACCTTCATCAGCTCCCTGATTTGCTTTGGAGTAGCAACTGCAATCATGCCAAGAAGAACAACCATGTAAGCTTTCTTGATATTATTTCTAGAAATGGCAGGAAATTCCTGTGATTTATTTGTGAAGCGCTCACCTTGGGGACCACCGAGTTGGTGCAGGGCAGTGACGAACTGGCGGTGCAGCTCCGGCGACCAGCACCGCCGCGCCTTCCTCGCTTGCTGCTGCTGCTGGGCTGTCTGCTGCGACTGCGCCTGGAGGCCTAGGGAAGGGGCGGCCGGTGCCAGGGCGGCTGCAGCCCTCGCCGCTTCTTGCGCGAATCCCACAAGCTGGCGGCGGCTTTCTTCAGCGCCGCCGGTAGCAGCAGCCGGGGAGGTCTTGGTCGGTGCCGGGGACAGAAACGGCAGATCCGGCATCCGCACAGCCTTGTCATCCTTCCTCAAACTCGGCGGCGCGAACGCCGGCGCGCCGGAGCCCACGGCCTTGAACGGCAAGGCAGCGCCGTCGTGAGATTCCGGCTCCGACGACCTCCTCCTCGCATCCTGCTTCTGCAATCGTAAAAAGGCGCAAACTTTCAGAACCCAAAACACAATAAAAGCACACGATTTAAATTAATGATCAATGCTTCACGACAACAAGCAAGCACGCGGGCAACCAACTGAATCGCCGGATCCTACCTCGGAAGCATCGTCCCCCCGGACGGAATCGCCGGTCCAGAGCTGCGCGGTGCTCATCCAGTTGCTCTTGTCGCCTGCGCCGGCGTCCTCCTTGTCCTCTCCTCGATCGCCGCCTCTCTTCTTCTCCTCCACCTCCTTCTTCATCACATCAATCACTGCGCAAGCAACCAGACCACGTCAAGAAAGGCTCCCCAAAAAGAAGAAGACAACAAAGGGATAATAGCTAGCTAGTACTAGCAAAAGCAAGCAAGCAAGAGCTTTTTCTCTCACCGTCGGCGAGGAGGCGCGCGCAGAGCGGGAGCTCGCGCCGGAACACCTCGATCTTGCTCTTCTCCTCCTCCAGCCTCCGGATACAGTCGTCCATGGCAGCCGCCGGCGCTTCCCTGACCCGCCCCAGGCTCTTGGCCGCGAACATCTTCAAATCCAGGCTCAAATCTGCGCCCATGCCGATCTCTCCTACGTCCAGACCCATCGATTTTACACCGGAGCTCTCGCTCGCTCTCCAAACGGAATCTTTTACTGACTTGTTGCAAGAGAAAGTATGAGGTGGATGTGAACTGGAGGGAGGAGGTGGGTGAATGGGGACGCTTATATACAGGAGGAGAAGCATTCGGGAGGGAGGAGAATCTCGAGAGTGTGCGAGGATGAGACGAGGACGATTTTTCACGTCACCTACAGATAGCTACAACGGACGTCAGTTTCCGCCAAGGCCCTTGGGTTTTACGGCTTTTGAGCTTTAGCCCGCTTGCCTATGCATGCCAACAAATTGAAAATGTGTCTTGCACACACTTTTTTTTTGTGCGTGTTGTACACACTTTCAACCAGATTGAGTCTGTACGATTGGGGTCAGAGGGAAGATGCAAAATGCCTTTTTTTTCATCAGGGTGTTAGAAGAAATAAAATATGCGGCCCTATTAACTCGAAATGTTTAGTTTTGGAAGCAATTAATCCTTGGCATCAAATACGTGTTTATCTTATCAAGCTAGTGTATCGGTCAGATACGATAGACAGCGGGGGATGTGCACATGAATTACGAATTTAATTGTATGTGTATTCGTTCTATATTCTGGATTAGTATTGACTGGATATATTGATTTGTCTGGATATGCATGCATACGCGGCGCGGAGGTTACATAATAGGTTCGTATTGATTGTCTCGTAAAAGCGTGTGGTTGGTTTCTTTTTCTTTAATTTTCGCGGTTGGTCATTATATATTTTTTTGTTTTATCTTTTGAATGAATTTAGTTTTTGTATAATTTTATGCTTCTTCGGAACATAGTGTGTTGCGCTCATGGGTCAAGTTCGTTATTTTATTTGTTGTTATATTAGTTTTGCAACTTGTAACACTAAACACTCTAACCAACATTGACTTATCACGCAAAAATATGACATAAACTGCTCTCTAAACCGTTTTCACTTCAACTTTCTATAAATATCCAACTTGGTGACCATGTTTGGTTGGTGGTCACCCGGTTGTGAAGTTTTCAACAACAAGAATAGGTAAAAGTATGGCATGCCTTATATAAATAGTTGTCACGCATGGTCATGAGGTATTTTCTTGTGAAAAATGTATACCTCATATTTGGCCATAGAAAGTGTATTCTGCCACACAACCTAATAGAATATACGTATATCATGTCCATATAAAAAGTACTCCCTCTGTCACATAATATAAGAGTGTTTTGACACTAGTGTAGTGTCAAAACGCTCTTATATTATGGGACAGAGGAAGTAGCACTTGACAACTATGAAAGTAATAAAGAAAACATCAATCACAACAGTAATCCCAAAGTCGAATTTAGAGACCCAATCCATAAGAAGATATGAATTGCCCCCCTTTGATCTTTGTCTCATTAGAGTGGTGACATCATTTCACAATGGCATATACATGGGATTTTTGAAATATCCGGCCATGAGATATCCTTTTCTAGGAAACACCTCCAGATATGCATCACCCGGCCCGTAGGATAGTTAGCATGCTATATGGTGTCATTCCCATTACTAATGTTAGCCATTGCTAGCTTAAAGTAAAATGCAGAATATGTTATCATCAACAACGGACTATAGGACACTCAAATATAAACTAAAAGTTGAATCAGTATTAACTTGTAATATTAGAACTAAGTTTAGGTATACCCTATGAATATTTGATGAAGCAGCATAGCAATCGTTAGCACTTGCATAAAATAACGAAAATGTTAACGCCCACACATGTGGGCGTTGACCATCTCGACCACACGCATCCATCACCGTCCAGTACTATATGCACGAATCTTGACACAATCTGGCTGATTTTCTGTGCCACGTAGGACAAGGCGTGTGTGTGGTGTGTGACATAGTTCTTCCACATATCCGTTTTACCACACGGAGAGGCCGATGTGTGGGCGTTTAGCAGTTCACCCATACACCAGTTTTCAGTCACGCACAAGGGCTGATGTGTGGGCATTTGCCATCTCGCCCACACGCCCGTCTCCTCTCCCACACGTAAGCTGCTAGTTGCCATGTGTTTTTGCAGCGCACATGGCAACTGCCTCTAGTGTGCTTTATAAGCAGGTGGCAACTCTCTTTTTTTACCCGAGTTGCCATGTATTTTTGCAGGGTACACGGCAACTGCCTAGTGTGCACGTAAGCAGATGGCAACTGTCTTTTACCGAGTTGCCATGTGTTTTTGCATGGTACATGGCAACTGCCCCAACGTGCACGTACATGGCAACTGTCCTAACGTGCACGTAAGCAGATGGCAACTCTTCCTTTTTACATGGCAACTGCCCTAGCATGCTTGTGAGCACATGGCAACTCTCTCAACTGCCTAGTGTTAGTATGTGGCAACTCCTAAAATTATGAAATCATGGCAACTACATTAGATCAGACCATACATGGCAACTGCAGTTGAGCAACCATGGTAACTGCAGTTGTCCGACATGGCAACCGTAGTTCAGCGACATGGCAACTGCAGATAAACGAACATGGACGAGGGTCTGGACCATGGCAACTGCGGGCGCGCGGTGGGCGCCACGCGTCGCGTGCGGGACCAGAAGGGTACGGGGCCTGACATACGGGCGTGTGGGCGTTATCAACTTCGCCCACACGCGCGCGTGTGAGAGGGTTCAGGAAGAAAAAAAGATGTGTGTGGGCATTAGTTGTTTTGCCCACACGTAGGTGTGTGGGCTGGTTGCTGTCCATGCCACACGAGGCGTGTGGCACAATTACCCGATACACCACACATGTGGCAGTTATCGGGACCCTAAAATAATATACAGACATAATTGCACACTAGCACTTGCGTAAAAGAATATACCCTATGAGTATTTGATGAAGGGGCATCTCAATTGTAACAGATAGATCTATTAGAAGAAAGAAAAACATGTCATTGTATTAACTGGATATGTTAAGTTTTGGTATCAATTAATCATAAGCGCCAAATACAAATGTATCTTATCAAGGTAGTGTATCGGTCAAATACGATAGACAGGGGTGATTTGTACGTAAATTACAAATTTGATTGCATACGTATTCGTTTTATATTTTGGATTTGTATTAGTTGGATATATTGATTTGTCTGGATATACATGTGTACGCGGCGCTGAGGTTACATAATAAGTTCATATTCATGGTCTCGTAAAAGCGCGTTGTTGATTTTCTTTTCTTTAAGTTTTTCGATTGGTCAATATAATTTTCTTTCGTTTTATCTTTTGAATTTAGCTTTTGTAAAATTTTCATTGTCTCGTAAAGTCACGACGTTGAGTTTCTTTCGCCATTGCAGTCTCACTAGCGAGAGTGCGGGATAGGCATATTTGGTTGATGGTCTCCCGATTGTGAAGTTTTCAACAATCAGAATAGGTAAAAGTATGACATGCCTTATATAAATAGTTGTCACACATGGTCATGAGGTATTTTCTTGTGAAAAATGTATACCCCGTATTTGAACACAGAAAATGTATCTACTGCCCAACTAGCTAGTACAATATACACACATCACATCCATGTAAAAACTAGCACTTGACAACTATGAAAGTAATAAAGAAACATCAGACACAACAGTAATCGCAAAGTCGAATTTAGAGACCCAATCTGTGAGAAGATATGAACTGCCCCACTTTGATCTTTATCTCATTAGAGTAGTGACATCATTTCACAATGGAAAATATGCATGGGGTTTTTGATATATCCAGCCACAAGATATTCTTTTTTAGGAAACACCTCCAAATATGCATCACCCGGCCCGTACGATAGCTAGCATGCTATATGGTGTCATTCCCACTATTAATTTTAGCCATTGCTAGCTTAAAGTAAAATGCATAATAAGTTATCATCTACAACGGACTATAGGACACTCTAATATGAACTAAAAATTGAATCAGTATTAACTTTTAATATTAGAACTAAATTTACGTATACCCTATGAATATTTGATGACGCAGCATCTCAATTGTTAGCACTTGCGTAAAAGAATATGCAGATTTGATTGCATGCGTATTCGTTCTCAATCGCTAGCACCCGCGTAAAATATACGGTGGTATTAATTGGATGTTGAGTTTTGGTATCAATTAATCATAAGCGCCAAATATGAGTATATCTTATCAAGGTAGTATATCGGTCAGATATGATAGACAGGGGTGATGTGTACATAAATTACAAATTTATTGCATATGTATTCATTATATATTCTGAATTTGTATTAGCTAGATATATTGATTGTCTGGATAAACATATGTAGGCGGCTCTGGGGTTACATAATAAGTTCGTACTCATTGCCCCGTAAAAGCACAACGTTGATTTCCTTTTCTTTAATTTTTGTAGTTGGTCAATATAATTTTCTTTCATCTTACCTTTTGAATTTAGCTTTTGTACAATTTTCATTGTCTCGTAAAAGCGTGTTGTTGATTGTATTTCGCTATTTTAGTCTCACTGGTGAGAGTCTAGGCATATTTGGTTGGTTGTCACCCGGTTCTGAAGTTTTCAACAACCAGAAAGGGTAAAATATTATCATGCCTTATATAAATAGTGCTCACGCATGGTCATGAGGTATATTCTTGTGAAAATGTATACCTCATATTTGGCCACAGAATGTGTATCTACCGCACGACTTATTCTTGTGAAAACTGTATACCTTGTATTTGGCCATACAAAGTGTATCTACCGCACAACCTATTATTTTTATAAATGTATACCTTGTATTTGGTCACAGAAAGTGAATTTATCACACAACCTAGTAGAATATACTCATATCATGTCCATGCGAAAAGTAGCACTTGGCAACTATGGAAATAAAGTAACTTCAAGGACAAGACCAATTCATAGTTAAATTTAGAGACCCAATCCGTGAGAAGATGTGAATTGCCAACCTTTCATCTTTGTCTCATTAGAGAGGTGACATCGTTTTACAATGGCATATGCATGGTTTTTTTGGAATATCCAGCCACAAGATATCATTTTCTAGAAAACACCTCCAAATATGCTTCACCCGGCCTGTAGGATAGCTGGCATGCTATAGTGTCATTCCCACTACTAATTTTAGCCATTGCTAACTTAAAGTAAAATGCAGAATATGTTATCATCTAATGTACAACAGGCATAGGACACTCTAATCTAAATTAAAAGCTTTTTTGT